ATGACCCCAGTGTAAAAACAAACTACAAAAAAAAGTGCCCCATTGTTTTTCTCAGCTTCAGCGTAGTCAAATTGTCCAGGTACCCCAAAGGGCAAGGATTTTGGTCCGGAGTTCCGGGCGCCTGACAGCCTCACGTCAGCAGAGTGGCGCAGCGGAAGCGTGCTGGGCCCATAACCCAGAGGTCGATGGATCGAAACCATCCTCTGCTAGGAACCATCTATATTGTGGCCATGGTGTGAGGAAGCCCACGCTATGTGCAGTGACTCAAAGGCAAACTCTTGGAATGGAGCTTTGCTGTTAGCAGCTCATGTGCTCTTGCACTGTTCTGAATATGTGATGACCCCAGTGTAAAAACAAACTACAAAAAAAAGTGCCCCATTGTTTTTCTCAGCTTCAGCGTAGTCAAATTGTCCAGGTACCCCAAAGGGCAAGGATTTTGGTCCGGAGTTCCGGGCGCCTGACAGCCTCACGTCAGCAGAGTGGCGCAGCGGAAGCGTGCTGGGCCCATAACCCAGAGGTCGATGGATCGAAACCATCCTCTCCTAGGCATCATCTATATTGTGGTCATGATCAGAGGAAGTCTACTCTAGCGTCTGTAGCAACTGAAAGGTGAACTCTTCAAATTCAAGTCATTTGTACGTTGCGTGGAAAATACTGGATTTACTCCTTTTTACTCCTGAACGGCTGATGCGGGTGATCCGATCACACACTCCGACGAATAGGGCGGCGCTGTTTCCCTTTAGCAGTCAGAAAGCGCAGAGTTTTGTTACCTAGAAGAAGAGTGTTGTGCGTTGAAGATGGCGACACGCTTGAAGGTTAGATAGTCTGTCTGTTAATTCAGCATCTGTTTAGCTGTTTCATATCGCAGACCCTTACGTTACTGTTGTGCTGGTAGACAGTATTTGTGCCTGATGTGGACTGTGTGATGCTTCTTGGCTGCCTGCCTGCTGTGTTGAGCAGTTTCTCTGTATCCAGGCTCTCTAGACTTAACCTGCTGCTGCGCGCTAATCAGATGGTGGCTTGTTTGTTTACTTTCATATTAAGTTTTAATATTAAATCTCTGAAAACAAACATTTGACAGTTGTACTGGTTTTTGTTCGATGCGCTGCATGGCCATTTAGATGGTATTCATGGCTGAGATGCATGCTTTTCTGATACATGGGTCTGTAACTACATAGCAGTGAAAAGACCCAGGACTGATAAATAGAGAAATCAGGAGGAAAGTGCCAGCAAATATCTCAAGACAGAGTTTTTTAGACGTTTGCTAGTTCCTGGGATTTTTACTAGAACTTGGGTCAACACTGTTTGCTAAATTACAGATTGCAAGTAAATTATTAATTTAAAGAAAAGTAAATGATTAGAATGTAGTTGATGCCTGGATCCTGTTTCAGTACATTTAGCATATTTCCAACTTCTAATTCTTGATTCTATTTCCTAAAACTTTCTTGCAACGAGATATTGATTCAGAAATGACTTAACATATTTTTGTATGGACAAAGGTTTGTTTTCTAGATGCAGTGTTGAAAAATAAGAGTTACAACAGCTAAATCGCATCGCATTTGTGGAATCACTCAAATACTATCAGTCATGCTTTGGTCAAAATAATAGTTTATTATAGCTTTCTTTCAAAGGGAATTAGCTCAGAATTTTGTTTCTAATGTAGAGAATATTAGATTTGTTGACTAGTTTTTGCTTTCTTAAAACAGTGTTTATTTTGCAGGTTCTTCGGGCATTTAAAGCTCTACATCGAACACGGATGACTGTGTTTAAAGAAGATGACAGAGCTTTGACAGGTTGGTAAAATATTGTAGAATCAGTGCACTAGTCTTTCTATCTATTTGGCCCACAGAGTTAGTTTATGTGGGCTGTTTTGGACCTTCATAGTAATTTTGCGCTTAACATATTTTCTCTGACTTTAGGAACGTTTGTGTTAGGAGGGCTATAATTTGTATAAAAGCCTTCCTGGGAGTTTCATATACAGCTTTAATTTTACATGAATCCACTTAATATATTTACTTTAAATAATGTAATATATTTACTATAAATAATGACAAACCAATCTGCTGCATTCTGACCTAAAACTAGCATTTAAAGGGGAATTCGATTTTTCATAATTTCTGCATAATTTAATGGTTGAGATGTCAACAGGGCTATTCAGAGTGGTTTGAAATGAAATGTTTCATTGTAGAGAAATCTACCGACTCACATTTCTGTAAAGTGCTGGTGATGGGAACCAGAGGTTGCCATGTCTACAACACAAATATAGCCATTGTATTTACTAACCCAAACCACCAGTGAACATATAGAGTTGTCTTCTGAGTTATGTTATGTTATGTTATGTTATGTTATGTTATGTTATGTTATGTTATGTTGATGATAGTAAAATGCTAGCAAATCTGAAAAAATAAGTTTTCTTTGGGAACTGTTTTACTTACAATACTCTGCATTTACCTGTTTGACATAATTGGATTTTAAAAGTTACATTTTAGACCAAAAGATTTTAAAACTATCACAAAGCAATCAGGCATCATATTAATAACCATTTTCTGTAATAGTGAGGCAGCTTCTAGGCACTTTGAACTCCTCAGAGATCTGGTTCCCATCACCACTACTGTGAAACAGTTCTGATTTGGCAAGTTTCTCTAGAGTGGAGCATTTCACACCAAACCACTCTAAATGACTTTGTTTACACTTTAACCATTTAATTATGCAGAAATTCTGAAAATTAAGATGTAATATTTGGCTTCCTGCCCTGCGATGGACTGGCGACCTGTCCAGGGTGTATCCTGCCTTCCGCCCAATGACAGCTGGGATAGGCTCCAGCACCCCACCGCGACCCAGTAGGATAAGCGGTTTAGATGATGTATGTATGTATGTATGTATGTATGTATGTATGTATTTGGCTTCCTAACAGTACTGTTGGCTATTTTGCTTCCCTCTGTATTAACTAGCAAGAAAAAAAACTTTCAAACAGCCTGTCCTCAAGTATCGCCCCAAAGCACTTGTAGTTTTTCAAAAATTCCTGCCACCTTCAAGATGCATCTTCAGAAGAGGGGGGCATTACTAGTCTGTAAATTGTAAAATCACTCTGTCGTGACTGTTGTGGCACCACTGTAGGCAAGTAGGTCTTTTTTTGCAACAGATGGTTGGATTTTTCATTTTGGCCAGAGTGCTCCTTTAATTATGTAGCCATTTGAGAAGCAGATGTATTTTTACCAAAATAAAATTTTTATTTAGTTAAAAATGTATAGTTAGAAAGAATTTATTGAATGTAAGGTTTTGGAATTTGTCTAGCGTAACTTGCAGTTTCAGACTCACATCACTGCATCTTGATTTCCAACCCATTTACCCATTATACAATAACAGGTTAGCTGTCAGTCTCAGAGGAAGGTATTGATATAAGTTGGGAAGAAAGGACAAAACAGTAGTCTTTATATGTGAATGGACAAAGCCAGAGGAATTGCAGGAGCTGCTGTACTTCTTGGTTGCTGTATAGCTTAATTTGATTTTTTTTCCCAAAATGTAGCTGCCAGATTAAAGATAAACGAAGAATTTAAGAAAAACAAGAATGAAACATCAGAGGAAAATATACAAGAGGTATGTCCCTACAAATAATTCCCATCAGTTTATGTTTATATAAGTTTCCAATTTTAGGTGATATTTTTCAACATGACTAGTCTACAGTTTTGTTTTGATGATGCAGTGTACTGCAGCGTTCTTTAGGTCTTTATTATAATCCTGTGAATTTTAATCTCCACCACAACTCTGAGACCATTTCACCTGAACCTTTGACATTGTTAGAATTCTCACCTTTTCTCAACATTTGTCCGCAGATGATAAAGATGGGCAGAGCTGTCGAGACAATCTTGCGTGAAAATGTTGTGCAAGCAGAGCATGTTGGAGAAAATAAACTTTGTATGTTTTGTTTTTGATGACTTATGATTATGCAATATTATTGCAATGAATGCCAATAGTACCTGTTATAAACTGCTATTATCTGTGTTGTTTGTATACACAGTGCTGCGACCTCGAGAGAGTCTGCTGTTAGAAAATGTACCTTATTGTGACTCACCTCGGAAAAAAGCGTGACACTGTGGATTAACAGGCCCTGATCTTCTGTCTCTGCTAGACTCTCGCAAATGGAGCTCTTCATAAGTCAACAAATCACAGGTTTAAGGATATTCTGTATATGGGCAGCTTCTCTTAAACATTAGGATAAACCAGTATGTTTAGAAAAAGCAACATGCATACAGCTGATTTTTGTCATGATAAATATATTTTAAAAATTCACAATTCCATGAACTCCTGCTCTGAAATTGCTTTGTAGTTGATTTTAGTCCTGCTCTGTTGTGTATTTGTAAATATTTTCTTATTTGCCCAATAAATTGTAAGCTAATAGTCCTGTTTGTATTTTTGTAATTACTTGTATCATGCTTGTATGAATGGCACAGATTTTTGACATGTGACACATAAAGTTGGGATGTAAATAAAGAAAGAATGCAATGATGTGCAAATCATTTAGTCACACCCCTGCATTTTAGTGCAGGAAGTGAGACTGCATACCTGCCTGTCCCTCATGGCCACATAGTGAGCAGTTAGATCACATACCCATGGTCAAACTATGTTTCATTGATTTTTTTAAAGTGAAAAAACACATCATCTACAAAGAACACACATTTTAATGCACGGTTTACCTGGTACGAGTGGATCAGACACAGCAGTGCTGCTGGAGTTTTTAAACACTGTGTCCACTCACGGTCCACTCTATTAGACACTCCTACCTTGTCAGTCCACCTTATAGATGTAAAGTCAGAGACGATAGCTCATCTGTTGCTGAACAGTGTGTGTTGGTCATCCTCTAGTCCTTCATCAGTGGTCACAGGATGCTGGTCACAGGATGCTGCCCACAGGACGCTGTTGGCGGGATATTCTCAATCCAGCAGTGACACTGAGGTGTTTAAAAACTCCAGCAGCTCTGCTGTGTCTGATCCACTCAGACCAGCACAATACACACTAACACACCACCACAACGTCAGTGTTACTGCAGTGCTGAGAATGATCCACCACCCAAATAGTACCTGCTCTGTGAGGGTCCATGGGGGTCCTGACCACTGAAGAACAGGGTAAAAGGGGGCTAACAAAGTATGCAGAGAAACAGATGGACTACAGTCTGTAATTGTAGAACTACAAAGTGCACCTATATAGTAAGTAGAGCTGACAAAATGGATAATAAGTGTAGAAACAACAATGCCTGATCGCTGTATATCATATTGGGGAAATACAAAACGTGAACTTGGCCTGTGTAAAACTTATGCTTTATTTTTTATTCTGCATAAATGCAGCAAATGAATAGAAACTGGGCACTAAAGTGTGCAGAAGTGTGTTCTCTGTAGAGTATTGTTAACTTATTTTCACTTAGAAAATCAACAAAACATAATTTGACCAAAGGTGGTCAAATGAGTATACAAGTATACGTGTATGTTAATGAAGTGACTGGTGTGTAGAACCATTGGGGGAGCCGACACACAGGGACCTACAGCGACCAAAAATTCTTTTATGGGCCCGTCATTTAGCCACTGTGCAATTGTACACCCATGATTCACAGAAATATATAATTTCTTGACAGCCAACTTTACCAGTTCATTTTAAATGGATCCTTCACAACCTGCAACATTATTCATTGTTCACTCATTTAAAAATCTTAAATAGTACTGTAACATAAACATTTAGGGATATTAATAGGTGGAGTCCTAAAATATGATATATATGCATTCAAATGATTTTTTACCATCCTTTACAAAAAAAAAAATCACGGATAATCACGTGTCTTTGGACCCATATTAATTTTCACTCTTCGTCACAATCACATGTGAAATGCATGTGACTTTTCTGTAAGGGCTATGACATTGTTATGAATTAGAGAGAATGCAGTGCGTCCTACAGCTGGAAAAATGAAAACGATTCCCCAGTAAATGAATATTTATACGGGACGCCCCAAAATGAGTGGAGCTTAGTGAATAATTCAAAGTCGTTTGTGTTGTCAGCTCTGCATGCAGTACCTTAGTCCCGTTTGGAACGCCGTGTACCGTTGAGGAATCGCCTGCAGGGGGCGCCGTTTTCACATTTCGTCTTACGGCGGACGGTAAGCGTTGATGGGAGTGTTTTAGCCGCGTCAGGTCCTCCTCTCTGTTCGTCTCCCCTGCAGTCACTGAGGCTACTACAAGGTTTTTCTCGTGTAACGTTAGTGTAGCCCCCGCACGGCGTGTTTTGGCGGTTGGTTTGGTGTGAACTCCTCGTTTTTTGGTTATTTTGACCCCACAGTTTCCGAAAATCTCAGCCCTGCTGCTCAGATAGCTCAGCACGAGCACAGGTGGAAATTAGCAAAACCTGCCCAGAGCAGGAGGACAACGGCGGAGCGACTGAGAGAGAACAGTCCAAACAGAATAAACGTTATTGAGGTAAGTACTGTATTAGTCTGAGTATTTAATATAACTTATAAATAAGTTGAGATGTATGGATGTGTGTAACAAAGGGAGGCTTATTATTTGTAGAATTGGTCAATGAGTTAACGTTTCAGCCACATTTTAGCTCCCAAAGCATCATTCAGAAAGCGTTATAAGGTATTGTTAGTATTTGTTAGCAAGTACAGTACTAGCATGCTACGAACTCCTTTGCCTTAGTGATGAAGACGCGGTGAAGCTATTTCGAAGATGATGATCAGTGCTGCCGGTGTTGGGTGTCACCAACCCTTGTGGTTCTTTGCAGCTGAATTTTATCACTCTAAAAGCCCTACAGGCCACAGTTAGTCTCTGCAGTAGTCTGAGAGCAGCCGTAGTGTCATCGACAGCCTGAACGGTGTGAGAAAAAGCAGCCAAATGAGATACACCTTCTTGTTGGAATACTCCCGTTCCACCTTAAATGTTGCCGCAGTTACGTTCTGGTGCCTCAGGGAACAGAATGTAACTGCTGCACCATTTAAGATGGAACGACACAATTCGAACAAGAACCGGGCGAATACAAAGCCAACTTCGTCATCGTGTAAGGCTGACCGCCATAGATTAAACCTTAAGTGATTTTCAGCCTATTCTTGATGTAGGTTAATTAAACGCCATACAGCATGAATTCAGCATCGGTTTCGTGTTCAACCATGTGGTGTCAGCCTGTCAGGGACTGATGGTTCAATGGACGAATCAATTAAACGGTCTCTAGAGCATTCAGTCCACATACTGGCGATGTGATAAATTGGTCTAGCAACCATTTCATGTAGACTCTATGATCATCTTTAAAGCAAAGATGTTTGCCGGAGTTGTCCGAAGCATGAAGCACTACGAGGGCTGTAGTGCTTTGTCTGCATTCACAAGCACTGGAAGTGATGTAATAGGATTAATCTCATTTGCACATGTGCAGCTGTGATTTGTCAAGTCACCAGTGTGATAGGCAGTAGAAAACTGATGGCCCATGTCTTCATTTTGTCTGATTTTCTTGCATTTTGTTCACAATGTTTTGTTAACTATTAATGATCTATTTAAATATTCATCAAATTGAAGAATAAACTGGTCATTTTGTGTTGTGCTGTTTGTGTGGCAGCCCAAAAATTGTGGTTATAGAGGTTAAAATGAATTGAGAAGGTAACAGGGTTAAGTGATTGTGTGCTGTCGATGAAAGTGATGGACGATGCTGAGCACCACCTGGTGTAGGTCATTGCTTAACAGATCTGTCTGCATACTGTGATGACCCCTGTTCCAAGGCCTGATCACCTTTTATAATGAATGTGACCAGTAAGGTAAATGAATGTGACAAGTGCAGTGTTATGGCTCATATTTGTGGGATATATTTTTTTTTATCAACGTTTTAGGCAAAGGCACTTGTTTTATGACAACTGTGTAAAAATGAGTAGGCATTCTTGTCAGTCTGTTGGTTGTTGCTGAAACTGAAAGATTTTCAATTGCTGATGTTTTTCACTCCATTCCGTCTGAAAGATTTACTGTGGTAACGTGTTTGACCCTGATTTTTAAAAAGCATGTCTCATGGGCACATAATGAATAGAAGTCTAGACTCACTTTCTATGGGTCCATTGAGTACTGTTTAAGTCCAGCTGAAAGTCTGAAGTCAAACATTAATTCATTTTATTTCATCCAGTCGTATCCTTTCAGACTCACCCACTGTACTCAAACCAGACACTCCAACAAAAGATTAGTAAAATGAAACGGTGGAAACTTGTTTCTCCTTTTGTTTAATCCAGAGTCTTTCTAGTTGGTGTCTTGGCGTGTAATGTGAAATAACCTTTTTACATTTGTCATTAAAAATGCAAACTGTATACACGTCCTACAGTCAGTAAGAAGAAATGGCTTGAAATGCCAGGCCTAAGCCAAAACAAATGTTTCCATGTAGCACTCTCCAGTGGTGGACAAGCTTGATTAGGTTTCAGCTTTGTGTGAAGGCTGTTCACCCATATTAAGTGCATTCCGTGCCATTCACTGACATCAATGCTGAACCTGTTCCTGCCTTTTCAAAAGGACACTTGTTTCTCTACAGCCAAAAAATGATAGACTGACACATTATCACCATAACGGTAGTGATTAGTTGAACTGAATGAGGTCATATCTGGATCATGCTTGCTGTTCTTAGCTGTAGGGCCTCAGGGTGGCTATTAAAGCCTCTGTTAGAGAATTCAGCAGCTGTTCATAACTCAGAATGCTGAAACCTTTAACTACTCAGGGTCTGTCTGGGAAAGTAGCAGTTACTTCACCTCATCTTCTACTTGTTAATTTTCAGTGTTAATTAAACAAATAGATATTAAGGATTGTGGATGTTACAAATGTCATCATGTGTTTAGAGACATAGCTCTTCCAAGCCTAATTCTAGTGAGGGTTGCCATCAAATCAGAAAGTGGTATTTTCAGCTTTGCTTAGTCCACAATTTTTCACATGACCTTTGAGCTTAGTACTTAGAGCAACACTGATAAAATTCAATACCATGTTATTCTCCAAATATATCAGGGTATCAGATGATGTATAAGTTTGAATTATTATTGTTAATGATACCTCAGAAGGAATCTTACGCAGTATTTTAAAGGGCCCATATTATGGAAAACCAAATTTTCCTTGCTTTTGTCTATTACTGAGACTGTTTGTTGTAGTATATAGACATTGATACAGTTTCATAATGTACCGTTCTCCTGTCAGTGCAGTCCATATAGAAACAAAGCTGAAAAAACAACACATATCATGAAGATATA